CTCTCTCCAGAGCAAAGGCATGAAGTGTGCCTTACCTCAGCAGGCACGGTTCATCCCCCTGCCTGTCTTTCCACTGTCTTAACTGATTCACCAAGCAGCAATAACGAGTTTTCCACCATGTACATGCTGCACTGCAATCTCTACTGCAGGAATTCCAAAGACTGCAAAGAGATTCCAGGATTTTTCACACAGATCATTTTTTCTCTTTCCTTTCTAACTCAGTGAAGTCAACTTAACACGCATTCTTGAAAGCCCATGGAAGCAGACGAAGCAAAGAGCTCCCCAAGCATGATCTAGCCACCCTTCTCTCCCCAAATCCCTATGTATGACAGAAAAGGGAGATGGCAGGTGGGGTTACACTGAAAGAGGCAATCAGAGCCCCAAAACCCAGCTGGCAGGAGCTTCTGTGGCGCTCCTTTCCAGAAGACACAGACTGAAAACAGGAAGGATTGTACCAAGACAACCATTAGAGGGATTAATTAATTACTCTCACCCTGTAAATCACCAAGCACGAACAAGCAGACATTCGTTCCAGGAAGGACGAGTGACTGTGGGCATTAGGGGCAAAGGTCTGCTGACAGTCTGTCAAATGCTAACACCAGATACCAGGACATCCCATTTGGCCACATCTTGCTCCTGTCCCACGTCCACTGGAGGCAGATGATAATACTCAGTCACCACATTCACAGACAGGCTATTAGGGACTCTCAAAGACAGAGATAAACAAACAACTAACAATCCCAAGCACCTAGGAAAAATGAGCACCATGAGAGAGGAAGCAAGGGCATCAAACAGAACTAATACCCCAGAAAACCCACTTTATGGAGAACTTCCAGAAGTGTTAAACCATGCTTCACAGAATGAATGAAATGCAGTCCTACAATGAAAATAAAATTAGTCTCACATCAGACTTTGCACTGGCAATTTTAGAAGCAAAAAGAAGACAGGAAAATATCTTCAAAGCTGGGAGAGATTTTGAATATGTATTTCTATACCGAGGCAAATTACCATTCAAATAAGAGCATACTTTTAGACAAGGACTTTGAGAATTTTTCACAAATACTCTCTAAAGGATTACAAACAAACAAACAAAAATAACCCAAGTGAAAGACAGGGAATTCAAGAATCAGTGGTAAATCAAGAAATTTGTAAAATTAAGTCCAAGTATTTATTATAAATAAATAAAAGCAAATAATAAATCTACTACTACAAAGGAAGTAAAAGCAAACTGTAGTTCTTGTTTGTAGGATAGAGGGAATGATATGGATGCTGATTAACTCTGGACATTAAGGGTAGACACTTTTACAAGAAAAACAGACTGCACGTCTTGCAAACCACTAGGGGAGGAAGAGCAAAGAAAACTTGAATAACCCAACAAAATACAGGATAAGGTAATAAATAATGAGGCAAATGAGAACCACAAAATAAGAGAACAAAAACATTCCAGTAATAATAAATATGAATGGATTAAATTCACCTATTAAAAGACTGACTCACAGATTGGACACAAAACACAGCTACATAGTGTTTAAAAAAGATAAACCTGAAACAGAATGACAGAATACACAGCAATAAGCATCAAATAAGTACAGTTTCATACTGATAAAAGATATAGCTCATCATATAAAATTATAAACTTTTATATACCTAACATAGCTTGAAAACAACATGTATAAAAAAATACATTATTAAAATACAAAATTCACAGATTAGGAGACTAGCATAATTCTCTCAGAAAGTAACAGACCAGAATAAAAACATAATACAAAGGAACAAATTTTAACAACCTTAATTATGTATAAAAACTTGGTATGTACTAAAAATACAAATATTTTATTTGTATTTTAGGCAATAGTCACCAAAAATTACTATGTATTAAGCCACAGAGAAAATCTAAAAATATTCCCCAAAGCAGAAACCAATTGGGCATATTTATTAACTGCAACGTACTAAAATTACAGATTCAAAATCAAATACATAAAAGGAAAAATAAATCTATCCACTTTGAATTTCTTTCAAAAACCAAAAACCTTTTGGGTTAAACAAGAAACAAAACAGTAAAGATAAACTTTAGCAATGAATAACAATGACTGCAGAGTAAAACCCCTAGGATGCTACCAGAGACTGTGGGAGAAGACAACAGACAGCTTTAAGTTATTTCTTAGATAGAAATCAGGACAATAAAGAAAAAAGATTTCAATTCAAGACACTTAAAAAAAAGAAACTCAATGATCCTGGAAAGAGTTAATAAAAATGAAAGAAAAAGTAATGATGTAGAAAACAAAAGTGCAGTTGATAAATTAAAAAAAAAATCAGGTTCTTCGAAAAGCATAACGAAATAGATAATTCCTGCACTAAGTCTCAACGTTGAGGACGAGTGTACTCTTAAAACACTTACTTGTAAAATTGAACCAAAGTTGTTTTATTTAGCAAGATCTGGTAATTTAATGAAATGACTGATTTTAATCTTTGTTCCAATTAATTTTGCTAAAGATTTGTGAAAAATCACTGATTGATTTCGGCACAATAAACTAATACTACATTAACAGAAAGATAACTGTTCATTTGTTTTTTTAAAGCAATTCTATATTTATTTCAATCACACAGTTAGACCAATGAATTGAAATAAATACAAATAAAGACACCTATGAACTCCACCCAATCCTACTTTACCAACAAAAGGTAACCATTTGTCAGACTGGTGAGCATCCTTCCAGACAATTTTCTCTTGCTTTTTAAAAACCTTTTAGATGTTTTATTATGCAGTATTTAAGGGGGGAAAAACCAAAATAAAGAACATTGCAATGAACACCTGTGTACCAACCAGCCAACTCAGGAAATAAACATCACCAGTACAGTTGAAACCCTCTAGGTATGCCTGCCCCTCAGAAGTATCTATCTTGATGTCATGCATTCTTCATACTTTACTACATGTGCATGCACCCTTAAACACTTTATAACACTGCTCTGCATGTTTTAAACTTTTATATAATACTATATGTACTCTTTACCAATTTGTTTTTCTTAAACATAATGTGTGTAAACTCCAGCCATGCTAACATACATAGTTTATTATTTTTCACCAACATACAGAGTTTCGTCACATGAATATTGAACAATTTATTCTGCAGATGAATACTCAATAACACTGTTAAAAACATTATTGGGAAATCTCGTGTACATGAGTGAGAGCTTCTCTAGAGTGTGTACATAAGAGTAGAATTGCTGAGTCTCAGGATGTGCATATATTTATTTTTTTTATTGAGGTCATAATAGTTTATAACATTGTGAAATTTAAGTTGTATATTATTATTTGTCAGTCACCATATATATGTGCCCCTTTACCCCTTATGTCCACCCCCAACCCTCTTCCCCTCCCATAACAACTAATCTGTCCTCTTTGTCCATGTTTTTGTTTATCTTCCACATATAAGTGAAATCATACAGTGTTTGTCTTTCTCTGTCTGGCTTATTTCGCTTAACATAATCCCCTCAAGGTCCAACCGTGTTGTTACAAACGGGATGACTTTGTCTTTTTTTTATGGCTGAGTAGTATTCCACTGTATGTGTATATTTTTAACTTTACTAGGTACTGACAAATTGTATTCTACATAGTACAAGAGTTCCTGATGATCTATAGTCTTACCTACATTGGTGTTGTCTGACTTTAGTTTTTCCCAACATGAAAAGTAGGAAACGGTATCTTATTGTGGTTATGATTTACCTTTCCCTGATTATTAGTGAAGCTGAACATCTTTTTCAAGTTCAAACATTTATGTTTCCTCTTCTGTAAATTCTTGGCTTCATTTTCTGATTAGAGCTGCAACACTAATCAAAAACTTCTAGCTCAAATACTCTAATGAAAGACTTCAGTAAAGCCTGGTTATCTATAGTGGGCAGAAACCATTCATTAACCCTTCCTTTTCCAGAACACACAGTCTAACATGAAAAGCAGTGTCTTGCTGTACAGAGTATTCAGATAAGCCAGTATGCTTCAATGTACTCTTCAATGTATGTATTTAATCTTCTGTAACCTGCATTTCAAATGATCAGAATGCAAATGAAAGACTCGTATCTATGAAGTTTGACATATGTGCATATAATATCAGGGCATATTTTTACAAGATTAAACCAAAAATTTAAATAGCTGATGACATCTTCAGATTAATAAATCCTTAAAAAGTAAAAATAAATTCCTACATGACCTTCAGGTATGACCCCAAGGGGACAAAGTTGAGACAAGCTGAAAACCAGTAAACATTTCCACCACAAGTAGATAACTCATGACAAGAGAGTGAGAGCACAAAAATGTGTTGGAGTAAAGGGAGAGGGTAGCTGGGAATGCCAAGGGATACCACTATTCTGGAAACCACCATATACCAAGCACTCTGTATGCCAATTTCCTATTCCGTACAATGAGATGGACAATAACCACCACACAAGTCGCTGTGAAAAGTAAACAAGATAATATGGGAATACAATCTGATCTAATTCTATTTTATGGATGAAGAAATGAAGTAGAGAGAGGTCAAGCACACTGTTCAAGGTCACAATTAATAAATGATTCCAAAAGCCCAAATTCTTCACACTGCACTCTAATATTCATAGTACCTTTCCAATAGGTGTCTTAATGACTGTGAAAGGGTATTCAGAGGAAGGAGACGACTAGGGTCACTACTAGAAGAATCTAAGAAAAGAGGAAAAGTACTCAGACCTTAAAAAAAACTACAACAAGCAGATGAGAGGTTACCTTAAATGATAACCTCTCATTTTCCCTTGTGCTGACAAATATACTTTAGACATTTGCCATCTAAAGGGTAAAATTAAGTAACTGCCAGCTTTAGGGATATATGGCATTCATGAAACCCCATCTGTTAATTAAGACACATTTAATAGAAATTCTCTTGAAAATTATTTTTAGATAAACAACAAGTGATTTGACCAACTACACTCTAGCTGGTAGAAATCGAGTGGGCAAATACTGGAAGAAGGTTACCTACCTACTGCGGGTGCATCATACTCATCACCAAGCAGAATTTCTGGAGCAGAATATGCAAGAGATCCACAGCTTGTAGTGAGCTTCTTCCCTGGTTGAAATTTGTTGCTGAAACCAAAGTCTGTCAGCTTTACAAGACCTTGTTTTTCAAAGAAGACCACATTCTCTGGTTTTAAGTCTCTGTGAACCACATGGAGTTTATGGCAATAAGATATAGCATGAACTATCTGAGCAAAGTACTTCTTGGCCAAGTCTTCATTAAGTCCCTCCTCATGTTTCATTATGTAATCAAACATATCTCCTCCATCTCCAAGTTCTAGAATAAGATATAGTTTGGTCTGGGTGTCAATAACTTCATAGAGGCGTACGATGTTGGGATGCTGCACTAGTTTCATGCATCTCACTTCTTGGAAAAGATGACCAGTGGCTAGAGTGTCCAATTTTGTCTTGTCAATAACTTTTACTGCCACTTTTTCACCTGTAAAGACATGCCTGGCAAGTTTAACCACTGCAAAATGACCTCGACCCAAGGTTTTATCCAGATCATATAATCCAGCAATCTTTCCATCATACCCTCGCTTGAATCCTGCCATGCTGGTCCGACAGAAGAAAAAATATTTAGACTGTGTGAAATGGATCTTCTCATATAAGAATATCTGGTGAAAATAAGGAATTCATTTTCAATGTCACCATGGACATCTACAAAATAAGAGGAACAAAATTAAGTTTCTGTAACTTTTCCTTTTATAGTTTCATTTTAAAAAAAATTTTGGTTTAAGAGAAGCTTGAAGTAAATAAATTGAGATATAAAATGAGTCAGGGCAATTTATAATAACCTATTAATATATTCAGGGCTTACATTATAAAGGTTGAGAATTTAAATACCATATTAAATTTTGCAAACTGAAAAAAATCAGTTTGTTGAAACAATTTTTTGGCAATGTCAGATATAAGAAAATTGGCAAGTCTGATAAGACATGTTTTAAAAAAACATTTTTCAAAAGTAATTTCAATTAGCATCGTAAAAAACAAGGCAAGAATTGACAAGGGAAAACACAAAGAATAAACACTTAGACAGAAAGCCAACAACTCTTCTTGTTACTCCAAGACTAGCACCATTTCCTATAAATACAAAAAATCCCTTCCGTGAAGCCTTCTCTAACTCTCCCAGCTGTCTGACCAAAATCTGTGCTTTTACCCACTATGCTACAATGTCTCTGTAAATTAATTTCAGAACCAAAACTAAATCATTAATCCTGTGTCGATTAAGATTTGTAAAATAAGAAACCAGTATGATGTAAAGGTTCTGGAGAAAAAGCAAAATTTCTTCTATATGGTATATTATTCTTGTTATCTGAGCTAGTAATTTTAATAAGATTAACAGGAAAATCCAAATGGAAAGATCTTGCTTAATTTGGACAGTAGTTCCCCAAAAGAAAGTTTAATTCAGGCATATTAATTTTCAAAAATAGAAAACTCTAATCTAACTCCAGGGGGCAGAAAACTATCTTCAAATCTGTAACTTCAATTAATCATAAGGGCAGTAATTATACTTAAAATTCTACCCAAGTCCATGTTTCTACAGTACAAACTTGCAAATGCAACTTTAGCTGTCAAAACAAACTTCTTCAGGCTGCCCCCAAGTTATATAATATTGCTTTTTCATGTATCACTTCAGTTTAGACATTTTCCTGGAATGTGGCATACAAATCAGATTTAATAAATAAATCTGAGTTTGTTTAAATTTTAATTTAATTAGATTTTATTTTTAATTTTATTTTCTTACAAAGCAATAAATTAATATACAGATAAGGAAAAACAGATCTTTTCTTAGGGTCTCAGACACCCAGAGATAATCACTATTAATAGCTCAATGCTTCTCTTCCCAGAACTGTGCGAGCAAAGGGGCGGAGTGGAATAATTTGTAATCCACTTGCAAGTTCATGGGAAAGGATCTTACAGGGTCTCCTCATAACGACAGACTACCTTGTAGTGAAATGATTAGTCACTCTCACTATCAACAAACTTACTTTTTTTTAATACTTTTTTTAGGTACACATATGCCTTTTCATTGTCTATGAAACTATAATTGTATACCTAAAAACAGGACATTATGATTAACTGGAGGTTGGGAGGAAAAATATCCTTGTTACTGAACATCTTTTTAAATACTAGTCCACTGTCTAATTCTACTATTAAGTGCATTTTGAGTTAGCACAGGAAATAATTAAGTCGTTTTTTGATCTTTGAGGATCTTGCAGTGCCCAAGAATCATTCTGAACATCAATGCCAAATGTTAAGAGGTGGCTTATATAAAGTAAAGGTGACTCCGTACCGGCTCCAAGACATACCCTGCAAACTGCATACTGAATAATCCTTATTACTGTGTTTTCTTGGTTGCTTCTTTCTCCTAAAAGAAAATACAGAGAAAGATTTCAGTTTAGTTCTATTTGTTTTAACTTCGCTTAAAATCAAATATATACCCGAAGACTGGATCCAGGCAAACATACAAAAATGGCAAATTTGTCTTTAGTAACCCAGTCTTCCATTATCTTTCTCCCCTCCATGAATTACAACTCACTCAAGGAATGTCTAGTAAACAGGAATTTCACAAAGGAGAGAGAAAAACTGTTCCAGGTAGACAGGTTAGAAATGATTATTCCACTGGAATTCTAGAGGAGGAAACAATAATAATGAACAACAGTAAATCCTCTATTTTCTAAATGCCTCCTGGATAACAGGCACCAAATCCCCATTTCACTAAATCCTCACTAAGAGCCTGCAAGGTGGGCAAATGAGGCTCAACTTGCCCAATAGGCAGCAGTCCACGGCTCTAATCGGCTCAGCCTGGCTTCAAAGCCCAACCTGCCTGCAGGAGCCCCTCCAGGCTCACGAAACACTCTCTCCAATAGCCAAGGAGGGCAACTTTTCAAACACTGTCTTCGAGCAGGCCAGCAGAAGTCAATTACAATGCCAGCATCGGGGAACACACAGAACACTTTCACATGGGAAGTTTTCTATTTGATAGTAAACAAGAACTATCACTATGAACAGAGAGAATGTGAGCAGATCACTGATATCTCAGTTTGCAGCACAGCAATGGAGTACTGACTGAAGGCCTCGCAGGCCTTTCCCCAACACTGAAATGTCACACAAAGAACTGAAAGGCCCAAACATTCATACTCAGCCAAGGCAATTTACACAATACACTAAAGGTGAGTGTCCAGGTAATACTGAGCTCAGGCTCACGTGAGCTCGGGGGAAAAGGAGTGCAATGAGGTAGGGTAAAGCAGACACGAAAGCTGAAAGAGGTAAGAAAGAGAGGTGGACGTGAAAAACAAGTCTACTGCTGGGAACGAGGGGATGAAGAGAGAGGAGATAACTCTGCGGCACAACGGGGCCAGCTAAGTCATAGGCACAGGTGAACCCTGGGATGCCTACCTGGTCCTTCAGCTCCAGGGGGCATACGGTAGCTCCTCCCATTACCCTTGCCTGCTTCTCTCTTTCCAACAGCCTGTGCTTCATCCACAGTCCCTGGGGCCAGGCAGTGTGGTAGCCCAGTGTGCCTGAGCACTGGCTCTGAAGGCCAATGGCTGGGTGTGAATCCCAGCTCACCAATCACTAGCCAGGAGACCTGAGCAAAACCTGATCTCTCTGTATGGTCAGTTTCCTCATTAGAAAATGTGAGTAGTAAGAGTGCAACCTCATAGGTAGTGGTGAGGATTAAATGAGTTAATATGGGTCAAGTGTTTAGAATAAAGCCCAGCATAGACTAAGCAGTCAGTAAATACCAGCTACCACCACCACCATCATTGTGATAATGATGGCATCCTCGCCCACTCAAGTAGAAATTCTTTTAGTCTTCTAGGCTACTTCAAGAGAATGAATTTATGGAGCTATTATCTCTTTGCTTTCATTAAAAATTCTGCTGTTCAGTTTCCTACAACGTATTAAATTGAAAATGGGTCCTTAAGATTGATAAAGGAAATAATGTGTCCAGTTGGGCATCAAAGTCTGACGATTTCTCAATAAAACATCCCCCAAAATCTAAGTATTTGCTGTTAAAATGATTCAAAGATGATTCTCTATCAAATCTATCCTTTCAAAAAGGACTAAATATTCCCTTACATTTTTTCCCATCAAAGTCATGCAGTCTTATAGAAAATATGGAAAATACAGAACAGGAAGGAGAAAGAATAAAGAGGCATCCATATTCCTACCCTAAGATCAGCACTATTAATATTTTGGTGGTCTTTCTACAAATATTTATATACAGCTGCTTCTTTGTTTTACAAACGTGTGATCATTCTATACATAACTATGTATCTTGCAGCCTACTTTTTCCACTTGACCTATCACTTTCCTTTCAGTATTTTTGTTTTAATTATGAAATAAATATCTGTGCAGTACAAGAAAAAAATACATTTAGAACATATAGATTGGCAAAAAGAGAGGGGACTTTAAAAAAATCATCCATTATTCGACCCTCTGTTAACATTTTGGTACACAGCCTTCCAAATTTTTTTGTATGTATAATATATGCCCAGATACAAATTTTTTAATAAAATGAGATAATACACACAGACATACACACACGGGGATCGGGGGGCGACTGTAACCATTTTTTAAGTATTTCTCTCCACAATACAAGTTCACTTTAGAAAATTTAGAAAATGCAGAAAAGCACAACGGAGGAAAAAAAAACAACTGTAATCTCATCTAGGCTGACCTCTCTTCAGGTGTGAATATATATCATTTGTATCTATGCTTCTTTACAAAGCTAAAACAGTGTATATGGAGTTTGACAATTACTTTTCCTCTACTTCATATGATGAACATTTTTCCATGCACTAAGTTCTTCTAAATCAGTATTTTTAATGTCTATATGGCTAAGATGACATCTTTTAAAACAGCAAAACTACTAATTAGGCCATTCTAGAGCAGTCTTACTTAGCATATGCTCACATATGCATATAACAAGGCAGGACCTAAATGAAACAGACCAACTAGTCAAGAGTGTTTATAATATGGAAATTCATGTTTGAAAAACAAGCACTGGTATGTGTTGCAAGAATACACCCATGTTCTCCCAGCTAAAGAGAGCAGAAGCAACTGAAGTGTGCGGGTGTGGCTGGAGAAGAGGAAGGAAGTGTGGGTGGCCCTACACACGTTTTGCAAGCTGCTGAAAACAGTTGTAGAACCAGCCTCTGTTAAACCTACAGTTAATGTGGAATTCACCCTGTTGTTCTTGTCAAAATTCACGTTTAGCTCTTCATTGACATCATCACCACTGCAGCGTGGTCTGTATATCAAACAAATGTCTCCTACTCACACCTCTCCCAGGAGAGGTGAGGACAAAACAGCACTTTGCCCCAAGGTGGCTCTGTGCAGATAACCACTATGAACCAAAGCAGGGCACGAGAAACTAGAGGAGTTGAACAAAAAGGGCCACGGGCAAAAATCAGGGTACTTCCATAGCCTCTCTACATTTTGTTTGGGATATTATAAATTACCCCCCAAAATCAGACCACCAATATTCAAATATACAAAAACCTCCCAAACAAATTACATGCTTTTAAAAAAAATCTGTGCCAATGTTCTCCCTCTAATACAGACAACTAAAACAAGAATTTCTTGCAAAGTCACACTAAAATTGTATTTAAGCTTCTTACATATGGAAATTATCTGGAATCCTTTACGAATACCAAAAAATAAAAACTTTAATTCTTACTCAAGGGAAATATCAGACTAAACTGTATGTTTATAGAAAAGTTAAGTGGAGGAACTAACGATCTCTCAATGAATATTACCACCCTGATCTTACCGCTAAAATTTCAAATACACCTACAACAAAAATGGTATAGGCTGCAAGGAACACAGGAGACTGAATCCTCCAGGATACCCAGGTCAAGTAAAATAAACCCAACCCTACCATGCAGCCGCCACCGCTGCTCTTTTTATCCAAAGTCAACAAGATTGCACATTTCTGGACAAGCACTTCTCCTCCCAGTTGTTGTCAATATAAGCTATAAATCGAAGATGAAGAAACCACAAATAGGTCAACAGGTCCTAAGTTATGGAAGAAACCAGCATTTTTCACTGGATTAGTTGAATGTACTATGTGGTTATCACGCAGTATATCATGTAGCATCAGTCTGCAGTCACTGGACGGAATTAAGATGGGAACTATAAATTAAAAGGTTAAAGTCAACTATTTATTGTGAGAAATGTCCTAAAAGGCAAAATTGTACCTCCAAATATCTAAGAAAGCACTTTCCAAGGGAAGGTAACCACCTATTACAGCATGTGCTGAAAGTTTTCTTCCAAGTAGGCAATTTTAACAGACTCAGGGCCATTGAGGTGACCAGGAATGCCAGGCTGAAGACCCTGCTCCAGCCTCTCAAGGCAGTGACTGGGCTGCCAATGCAGATCAATTCCTTGAAGTGCTGGTTTGAGTAATCTTTATTTCTTCTAAGTAAAACAAGCTATAGCCCAGGATATATCAAGGAATTTGAACGTACTCAGGAGTCTGGCGATTTATTAACTGATGTAGAGTAGTACTCAGTATTTGTAGAGAGAAAGGGGTTAACATCCAAGCCACAAAACCTACACCGGCACAGATATAAGTTCAAATTCCTCAACAGAATTGCCTCATTAAAGTGATGAAAAATGTTAAGCATGTCACCATTTCTACCTAAGGGTATGTGAGACTTAAAAAATTAGTATGGTGACAGCCCTGGTATAAAGTGCTCGAATAATAAATGATGACCTAAGCAAAAGCTAGTGTGTAGGAAATACTCCAAAATAAATAAAGCCAACCCACAATTACTCCTTTGCCAAGAAAACAGAATCTAAGTTGGAACTTAGGGAGAATTTAAAAACTTAATAATCTAAATCTCTCTTCCAAAGCTTTTATTAACACTGTCAAAACTCATGTTAACTCCCTATCATCTTTTTTCCCCCTGCTGCTACTGTGATGAAAATAGTCATTAAAAAATGGTCAGGGGCCAGCCCCGTGGCCAAGTGGTTAAGTTCGCGCGCTCCGCTTCAGCAGCCCAGGGTTTTGACAGTTTGGATCCTGGGCGCGGACACGGCACTGCTCATCAGGCCATGCTGAGGTGGTGTCCCACATGCCACAACTGGAAGGACCCACAAGTAAAAATATACAACTGTGTACCGGGGCACTTTGGGGAGAAAAAGGAAAAATAAAATCTTTAAAAAAAAAAGGAAACTGGTCAAAAAAGAATGTTGGAATAGAAAAAAATCAACTAATCCATAAACAAAAATAGTGGCACCTAACATTTCACTGACTTTGATTTGAAAAACATAATCATTTGGGGATTCTCTTACACTGCTGGGACTGAAAATTACCTTTCTGAAAAGCAACTTGGCAATGTATGTATCAAGAGC